TAATACATACATGTATAGGCCAAACTGTTCTACATCATGGCACATACGTTGCCTTTCTTTCCTTTTTTTAAAATAAACTTTAGAGATTATTTCACAAAAAAAACCCCATTTTATGTAGATAAAAAAACTTTTTTTATTATTGTAAACAAGTGTACATGCGTATATTACTATGGAAGGGCATACTTTACTTTCGTATGAGAGAGAGAGAGAGAGAGAGAGAGAGAGAGATAGGTATTTTTTAAGGACATACAGTATATAATTTAACTATGTCAAAGCACTAAGTCTTATTAGACCAAAAAGGCATAGAATTCAAGGGCTATCTACAGCAAATAATGATGAAAGCAAACATGTATACATATAAAAAGATGTGCACAAAAATAAATTGCGCAAAAGTGCAGAAAACTTACATGTACAGTGTACTTCCGTTACCCTTGGACTTCTGTATCAGTGTAAAGAATGGAATTAATTATTCACGCCTAGAGAGCAACAGTCCATATGTATACATGACTTAGCCCTTCGGCTTGTTTAAAGAAGAAGAGTAAATTAACATAAAATCCTCTATCTGTTCAAGAAATCCCGGAATAAACACGTGCACGGTTACAAGTGAGCACACTTAGCCAGTGTTGAGCAAAAGATTTTACATGTGACTTGAGAAAACTTTGAAAGGCGTTAATTCTCAGAGGGAAAGAGTGTTTTAAAATGAAATGTTATTGCTTATTCTGGTAGTGTCCTCTCAAATAATACACTGATGTTTTTTTGTCAAGGGATTTATATTTGGTTGCGACCCCCTCCCGAAATTGCTTTTTATCGGGCTCGTAGCAACGGTTTTAAAAGTAGGGGACGGAGTAAGCAACCTCACAAAATAATCTAGCTATTGTAAGGACATATGGTAGCTATGCTTTCATTTGTATTCTATTTACATGTATTGGCAAAATTATTGGGGATTTCTACGGCCATGAATCATTAAGACAGAGAGGCGACCCATCCACTACCGGTTTACAGCGCTGCTATATATATGCAATTCTTTATAATTCGGCAATTTTTTAGCACACATTCTGAAAAATTGGGATTTCATTAAAGCATCACTTATAATTTAGATGTTAAACATCTAAATGGAGTTTATGATATCATAAAATATTTTTTAGTAATTTTTAAACATTTCTCTAATTTAAGTAAAATATTTTATGTGCCTGAGCATTACTGTACATGTGCACATAATTACATAGTTTCAAGTCACCTCATAGATGCAGCTCCTTATATATAGTGAAATGCAATTCCACAAGATGAGAATATGAGAATATACGAGAGTTTCAAATTTATGAGGGAAAACTGTCACCCTACTTTACAGTTTGAATATATTTTAAAAGATTTTGTAAACACAGTGATAAATCCATCAGTCAATTCTTGATCCGTCTAATTTTTAATGCGCCTTGAAATAATAGCATCATTGTATAATGATTTAGTTCATTAACGTTGATGAGTTGTAATTAACCACATTTAACCTTAAGTTCACCCATTGTTACTCATATACACATCACTTATAATTGGCTTCGAACTTTGTTTCAAGGATACCTGTTTCTGTAGTCCTAACACTGTTTACATTATTGATTGCCTGAATGGTTCCGATCAACCACAATTTTGTTCCTTAAAAATACAGATTTTATATTGGTTTTTGCAGATGTATAGCATTGATATTCTTAAATCGTCTCTCAAAAGAAAAATTATCCAATCTTAACTTCATATCTTCGACACATCGATAATTCTTTAAAAAGGCTGCACCTCAATATTTCAGTCAACTTCATACTCGGATTACATAGATTATTAGCCGTCAAAATTAACATTAGAGCAAGCAAAAAAAAAGGGGGGGAATAATTTCTTATTATTTATGAACATGTATCTGAAAACCCTGATGACATGCCATACCAAACGCAAGACTACATGTAATACTGAATCCCCGTACAGGTGATCGAGGGATGAATTAAGGGGGGTGGGTGGGTGGGGGTGACAAGCTTCTTGAATATTAATCTCAGTTTGAATACAAAAAACAAAGAATAAACAGTATTTCATTTTTATTTTAACAAATCAGTTTTATTTCTGTTGATCCTTTCTTATCACAGATAATTAATCCATTAGGAGACAACATTTTTATTACTGAAGTTGATCCAGAAAAATGAGTTAAGTCCCGTTATGGAGACAAATAGAGATAGAAAGTTCAGGGGAGATAACTCTCACTCAAATGCACTGACTTCATTTAGCCACATCCATTACGCATGTGCATTTGCTCTTCCTTTCCATCTTCCGTCATCCATTGAAGCTCAGCATCCCACCCACCTCTCCCAATTTACAAGATTTTGATGAATTGTTCTCTTGTGTCAACAAAATGTTGCTGCTGTCTTTGATTTCCTTTTTCAGTTAACATCCATTCTCTTGGCTACCAGCAGAAGAATGCATTACATCAATTCCTTTGGCCACCAGCAGAAGGATCCATGACATCCACTCCTTGTCCTGAAGCAGAAGAATCCATTTCTGCCGTCCTTGGCTACCAGCGGTACGACCCAAAACCTCCGTTCCCTTGGATACCAAAAGAACCCGTTAGCGTCATGGCTTTTTTACGTCTCATTGAAATGCAAATTATATGGTCTTCTTACAGGCTGTTTTTTAATGCTGAATCGAATTTTGCTGGAAGCTCGCTACTGATCCTGTTATCTTCCAGGGCCAGTGGCCAATAATTGAGCTTCCGTCATTGTGCCATTGCTATTGATTCTACGTCATATACTATTGATAAAGTCGACGTAGACCATTGTCTTTGTAATACATTGCTACCTGCTCATTGCAATTCATTTATCATTGAATATCATTGTATATCATTGTATATCATTGCATATTATTGCATATCATTGAATATCATTGCATATCATTGAATATCATTGTACCCATTGTGTAAATACATATATACACTTTGCGTACATCATTGATTGAATATCATTGTTTATCATTGAATATCATTGTACCCATTGTGTATTAATTATTCAATATACACTTTGTGTACATCATTGAATTGATACTTTATGTACATCATTGTAGAGATACCTTGTGTACATCATTGTATTCATTGTATTGATGATTGATTTGACTATTGATTGTATTGATGATTGATTTTGACTATTGATTGTATTGATGATTAATTTGACTATTAATCAATAAAGCCATGACAAAAACTGCCAATCATTCTTAATCTATTTTGTCGACATAATGTGAGGTGCGCATGTTGCTTGTTTGTATTAATTCAATTTGTTTAAGTAGCGGTAGCGGATTTGGAACATCTAATTTTAATTAGATAGGTAGTTGTCAGATTTCTCTTATATTTTTACCGTCAGCAAACAACATGTATAGTAAATATCCTAAAATTTTATTCCAGATTTTCTTTTTTCAGCACACTGAATTTATTAGTTTTCTTCTTCTTAGTGTATTTAGAAATATTTTTTTTTATGCAATCGTACTTGTAATCTTCAGTTTTTAACTTTTATAAAAACAGAACCCAGAAATTGTGAAATTTCTCTCTGTTAACTTAATCGTGTAATAAAATAATTTCAATTTAAAAAAAAATAGAAAATAGATCATGTTCAAAAAGATTCGCCCCTGATAACAGAAATTTATTCACGAACATGACTATCCCATCTAACTGTTCTTGGAAGACCAAGATCTTAGTATCGTCACATTTTAAAACTAGAATAGTGCCGGGGTCAGGACTTAAATGCTGGTAATGCGGGGGAGAGAAGGACCCTCCGAGACAGTCTGATCCCACCACTCACGGGATCGTTCCCAAAGTATTTCACTTGAATCTCATCTCCTGGCTTAAATCCCGAAACTTTCTGAATATATATATATATATATATATATATATATATATATATATATATATATATATATATATATATATAATATATATATATATATATATATATATATATATATATATATATATATATATATATATATATATATATATATATATATATATATAAGATAACTTTAAAAGTTTAAGACCTTAAAATAATATCCACACTTGTTAAATTTTCAATGCCAGAAAACTCACACTTTCTAAGTGAAAAAGGTACGTCGAATAATTGATTATGTGAAACAATTTGAAACTTTTTCTTAGTCACAATTTTAAAGTGTTTTTTTTAATGGAAAAATATTTTAGCTTGTCCTATGATTTATTTTAAAAAATCGAGGGAAAACGTCGAAGATGTGATTTTTTTTATCAAGGCACAAATTTCAATGCAAAAAGGTACTGTAGCGCCAAAATCAAACTCGCATTTTTGTTTCGATTTTTAATTTAGCTATGTGTATAGAAAACAAACAAACATGTGACTTGATAAAAAAAAGTTGACTTTTAATATTAGGATCCAACCTCGTTATAGAGTATTGTTTTGGGATATAAGGTTAGGGTATGAATGTTAATCACTTATAATGAATTTCATATTGATTTTTATGTTCTCCATTATCATAAAACATTCAAAGTATGTAGTAAACCATAATTTAGATAAAATTTAAATACCCACTATAGACCAGGAAGTATAAATACCTGACAGGTAGATAACACAGGTAAGTCATGTGACCTGAATTCCGATAAGAGAGAGATGGCAGCCATTACTGTTTTACATCAGGTAATGTCTTATCTTTGAAATTGACTTATAATTTAAATAATTGTATAATTCTGTATTCTACAATCCAGCTTGCATAGCATCCCCTCCTCTAGCGAGAGATTGAAAAAAAGATCATGTTTTATTGATCAGTGTTGATGTACAGTTGAAATAATCAGATTTTACATAATATGTAATGGTTTAAATTGGGCCAGCCTCGGTAGCTAAGTAAGTAACGCATTTGACTAGTGAAGCAGGGGTCCTAGGTTTGATTTCCAGTTTAGTCATACATTTTCTCCTTTCCTGTCACAGATTTGGTGCCGTTGACGAGCCCTGGACTAGTAGGTCTTAATCATGGATCCCCGTACCAGTGCCCAGGACGTGATGCGATGTGACCTGTGTGAGACCGCTGTGGTACAGATGCACTGTGATACATGTCTTGTCAACCTGTGTAAGGCGTGTGTTGGAGAACATGCTTCTGCTGATCTCTCAAAACCTCATAAAATTGTTGATTTCAAGGACAGAAAATCCACTCCGCTCTACCCAGTATGTGTAACTCATGATAAAGAACGATGTAAAATGCACTGTGATCAGTGTGACATTCCTGTCTGCCATAAGTGTATTGCATCTGGTCAACATCTAGGTCATAAAGTATCAGAAATCTTGAAAGTTGTGGATGGAAAAAAGAATAAATTCATGAAAGAACAATCTGAATTAAATAAGACAATTTATCCTACCTACCAGGACATTGCCTCTGATGTACAAAACAGAATGAGTCAGTTAGAAAAGGAATATGGAGATCTCTCAACAGCTATAACAAAACATGGAGAGGATTGGCACAGAGAAATTGACAAACTTGTCAAGAAACTTAAAGCTGAAGTTGATGAGATGAAGAACACACAGTTACAAACTCTACAGAAACATCTGGATGAAATAAACAAGATCATTACTTATATCAATGATGAAATTAATTCAGTTAAAATAGCTATAGACACTAATGACTTGTCAAAGCTATTAAGTGTCACATCCAACCTACACACATACAGAAATCTTCCGGACAAAATTTTAGCAGCTTTACCCAAATTTATTCCAGGAAAAATACAAGGGGAACTTAGTAAACTTTTTGGAGCCTTATCATCAAGTTCTTTAACATTAGATAAACATGGCTACAGCATGAAGACAACACAGAAATCACCAGAAGCTGGATCCTCTCCTCAAGTGAAACAGCTGCTTGATGAACCAGTGATTGTCACCAACATAAATACTGGGTATGGACAGCTTTACAATGTGGCCTGTCTGAGTAATGAAGAAATCTGGACAAGTGGACATGACAACACCATGCAACTCTACAACATCAGTCAGGGATCACTGCTCAAGTCAATCACAACCAAGTCAGGGAAAAGACCAGAGGACATAGTAGTGACAAAAAGTGGAGATCTAGTTTATACTGATCACAATGACAGAACTGTGAACATTGTGAAGAATGAGAAGATAGAGGAGGTAATCAGAATACAGAACTCATGGAGACCTGAAGGTTTCTGTAGTACATCAACTGGTGACCTCCTGGTTATCATGGGCAGTGATGAAAACAAACCAACAAAAGTTGTCCGTTACTCTGGCTCCAAAGAGAAACAAACCATTCAGTTTGATGATAAAGGTAAACGTCTCTATTCACCTAGTTATCGTATTCTAAGATACATTACAGAGAACAAGAACCAGGATATCTGTGTGTCTGACTGTGGAGCTGGAGCAGTAGTGGTGGTCAATCAGGCCGGGAAACTGAGATTCAAGTACACTGGACATACTCCTGCTCCAAAGAACCGACCATTCAGACCAGTGAGACTACATGGAATCACCACAGACAGTCAGAGTCACATCCTTACAGCTGATAATAACAATAAGTGTGTCCACATCATAGACCCGGAAGGACAGTTCCTCCGTTACATAGACTGTGAACTGAGTTATCCCTGGGGACTGGGTACAGATACAAATGACAATTTGTTTGTTGCTCAATATAAACAAGTGACGAAAATAAAATATCTGCAGTGAAAGTCATGATTGCATAGATGTATATAATATTAAAACATTCTTCCTCCTTAAAGAGCTAGGTTCACTTTATCCTTAATTTGGCCATGTAGATAAACAAATTTATTCACTAACACACTATGTCCAATTCTCAGACTCAATATAAAGGAGAGATTTAGTGCTTTCAGTTTTTATATCAAAGATTCCTCTAAAGAGCACAGGTACTGAAAAACAGATTGTGTGAAGCTGTACTCTTCTTGAGTTTTGCAGAAAAAATCCATTTGAGATCCTTAAACAGAGAATTAGTATATATGAGCACACCCCTCCAACCCCCCCAATATTTTTTTTTATTATTCTTTATCTAGACAAGCAGATCTTTCATAATATATTTTTAAATTTTGGATTGGCAGGTGACGTGCTGTACATTAAATATTAAAAATATTAAAATATGTAAATAATGAAAGAATTCATGACGTAACAATACATTGACTAGCAAGAAAATAACATCATAGTACAGTGAACAGTCAGAGGCATAGCCAGGGTACTTTTGATGTGGACGCCCAGGTAGGAAGGGGGCAGGGGCTGTCTTAAGTCTGGTTACGCACCTGACAGTTACATAATAATGCAGGCTAAATGAAATTCTGAAATTCTACATTCCAAGACATAAAATATCATACTAAATTTTTCAAAGAAAAATAAAATTACATTTGATGATTTGCCATGAAAAATCATATTCTATTTTTTTAATGAAAAAAAAAACAAATCAAAGAGTTAATATTAATTTAAAGGCCGAGATTTTTAACCGTACGGTTTTCTCAGGTAAGGGGAGGGACTAAATTTTACATGCGTGGCACCCTGAGGCATTGATGGTCGTGCAGACCGTGGGAAGCGCTTATCCCTATACACAAACAGTATACACAGGAAGTCCATGGGTATTACCTGTACAGCTTGATGGCCTACTGTTCATCATAATTTAGTAGAATTCGACATAGTAAATAAAAAAATATTAATAGTAATTAATGATAATTGTAAAATTCCGTAATTTCAGACTCATATCTAATATAAAACAAGCAGAAATCTGGCAGGCCGACTTTTGTAAATACTACGGTATGTTGTACGTCACAGCTGCAACGACTTCAGTTCGTTGTAAAAGAAATACAGGTATATTTTTAAAAGTAAAATACTCATCCTTGTCTGTCCCTTTCAAAATCTTATAAACTATTCATAATTTAGTAACAATTAGAGCTACGATCACGGTCAAATAGTAACAGTTACTTGCCGTTTGTATAAAAAGTCGCGTGTTCCTATTTTTAGCAAATGTACATTCTGCATCCTATTGTAAAAAAAATTCGCGATAACGATGGTTTTGTAAAGTTAAAATTACATTCAAGTATGTGTGTATTTTAAGTAAATTTAGATTATAATTAAAAAACTTTAAACAAAATATTAAAAACAATGCAAACATTTGTATTTCTTTCAAAACTATTTTTAACACCTGTGACCTTGATTGGAGAAAACAAACCTACAAAGCAAGAAGTGCTCGGTTATAAAAAGGAAAAGAAAAGAAAGAAACTCTTTATACTAATTAATACTTGACCAGGCGAAGTTGTTTTTAACAGATTTTTTGTTTTCATCCTTAGTTATCCATTACATGCAAAATTGTTACCAGTTTATTTTCTCCTTTATTTTCATCGTAATTTTTCGCCGCGTCTCATAACAAGAATCGTTCTTAATTTTTACTAGTGAAAACAAGATTTCATTCACCAATTCAATTTTCATTGGTAAAAATTTACACAATCTTGATATATTTTATTGAAGTACAATGAGAAAAACATTTTTTTTTAATGACATGTTTGTAATACAGATAATTATAATTAATTAATTATAATCAAGCTGAAATTGTTTGCATCGAAATGGCTCCCTTATTTCGATGGTAATTTAGTGGTAAACATCAGAAGATCGAAAGTTAATTTGATGGTGGCCACGCGTGTCAAACAAGGTGATGAGATATACACAGGGACTAGTAGCTAAATGTCAATCAATTTCAAGTACCCAATAATGGACCTTAATTTATTTGATTGACAGGGGGATACAGACCAGGTAAATCTGAGGGCGGTGCTTATTATCTCGGGCTTTAAGCACACATAAAACAGTCACGTTAAACTATTTCAGTTAACTGTATATGCGATTAGAAGTCTTTTTATCATAATTTATGTATTTCAAACTTATCTTAATAAGAAGCTAATTCAGTGCTTTACTTATGTTTTTCCCATTTTAATTGTTAATTGTAAACAAAGAAATCATGGGTAAGTAGTGTACAGAGTGTCCGAAAAAAGTCTGTTTTTCACATATTTTAGACTTGTGTTCTTTCTAGCGAAAAATCTTCTCAAACACTGCTGGAATTTTTTTCACCTCCTTGGCACATTAATGGCAGTCGGAAATGAAGTTTTTCTTGAAGATATGTATATGATATGATATGTATATGTGTAAAATCACTTTGTATAGACTTTGTTGTCCTTTAGATTTTAAATGAAACAAACAGCATCAGGTAAAACAATTCAAACGTTCCTCCTCTTGCATACTCAATACTAACTCCCTCAAGATGAACAGTACACTGTAGGTCCTTTAAGATTATATATCCAAGATGAGCAAATCTTCAAACATTTCCATTGAGAAATATTCATTCTATCCCCTCTCGTTCTTTCTGTTCTTGGAAGACCAAGACCAATTAGTAGTCATATATTAAAACTAAAATAGTGCAGGGGTCAGGACTTGAATGCTGGTAATGCGGGGGAGAGAAGGACCCTCCGTGACAGTCTGATCCCACCACTCACGGGATCATTCCCAAAGTATTTCACTTGAATCTCATCTCCAGGCTTAAATCCCAACATTTTCTGAATATATAAGACAACTTTGATCATCTGCTTAAATTTAGCAAAAGTTTAATTAAGACTTTTAAATAATTTCCACACTTGTTAAAGAACTACGTACGCTAACTCTAAATTCCTGCCTATATTTCATAACCATCTAATTCAATATTGATGACAATTTGGCCATAAAATCAGTGTTTAATACAAAGAACAGTTCAATGGTACTTGATTAATCATTTTTATACCATTGCTAAATAGTAGACAACTAGTATCCCTAATTCCAGCCCTTGAAATAAGGGCGGGGGGGGGGGGGGGGTTGGGTTAGACGATATTTCCCACTGAAATCGGGCTATTAATCCTCACCATATTTTTAAAATAGTATTTAAAATGAATAAATGTTTCTTATTTTTTTTTAAATACTAGTATATCATGCATATCAAATTAAGCATGAACACATATACAAGTAAAATACAATGTTTTAGTTGTAAAGCTTCTCCAAATAGTTGGAAAATAAGCATTTTGTTGTTTTTTGTCAGCAAACATATGCCCCCCCCCCTCCCTTGAAACACAAAAAGCTTTAGTATGATTTTGTGAAATGACAGTCGATATTACCCGTAAAAAGGAATTAGTTCTTCACAGAGGGTGTGTAAAAATATTTTTCGTTTTCCATTGATTTATCCAGTGAAAAAACACGAGTTTTACCAAACTTTTTAGAGTTATCTCTCGTTGTTTTCCCAAATAAGTAATGTTTTTTGAAATCCATATAAAAATCTATATATATATAATATACCGAAATTCATTCGAATATATAAAATTTTGAAAATTGACTTGATGGTAGGCGGGAGAAAAATACTATCGTTTGCACTTCTTTTCAATGCCAGAAAACTGAAATGAAAAGGGTCGAGTAATTGATTTTGCAAAACAATATAAGAATTTTTTAGTCACAATTTTAAAGTTTTTTTTTTTAAATGAAAAATATTTTAGTTTGTCCCATGACTTAGTTGAAAACGTCGTCGATGTGACAAATTTCAGTGCAAAGGGTCATACTGAATGTACTGTAGCGCCAAAATCTGACCCCCATATTTAGCTATATATGTGGAAACCAAACATATAATTATACGAATTGATAGAAAAAGTTAAAGACTTTAAATATTAGGATCCAACCTCGTTATACATGTAGGCATTCTTTTTGGGGTATAAGGTTAGGGTATGAATTTTAGTCTTTCATAATAAATTTAATATTGATTTTTATTATCTCCATTATCATAACACATTAAAAGGTATTCAGTAAGCCACAATTGATAAAATTTAAATCCCCACAACAGAAGTATAAATACATGACAGGTAGATAACACAGGTAAGTCATATGTCATAAATTTTAGTCATAATCTGGCAGCCATTACTGTTTAATATCAGGTAATTTCTAATCTTTGATACTATTGTATTATTCTGAATTCTAAAATCCTGCTTGCACACCATGCCCTCCTCTGGTGAGAAATTGAATAAAAAAGGTCTTGTTTTTATTAATGTACTGTTAAAAAATAACCAGATTTAATGTAATGGTTTGAGCCAGTCTATGTAGCTAAGTCAGCAGAACATTTGACTAGTAAAGCAGGGGTCCTAGGTTTGATTCAAAAAGCATTCATGCATTTTCTCCTTTTCTATCACAGAGTTGGTGCCGTTTTCAAGCCCTGGACTTGTAGGTGTAATCATGGACCCCCGTACCAGTGCCCAGGACGTGATGCGATGTGACCTGTGTGAGACCGCTGTGGTACAGCTGCACTGTGATACATGTCTTGTCAACCTGTGTAAGGCCTGTGTGGGAGAACACTTTTCTGCTGATCTCTCAAAACCTCATAAAATTGTGGACTTCAAAGATAGAAAATCCACTCCCCTCTATCCTGAATGTAAAACTCATGTCAAAGAACGATGTAAAATGTACTGTAATCAATGTGACATTCCTGTCTGTCTTAAGTGTATTGCATCTGATCAACATCTTGGTCATAAGGTATCAGAAATCTTGAAAGTTGTGGATGAAAGAAAGAATAAATTCATGAAAGAACAGACTGAATTAAATGAGACAATTTATCCCACCTACCAGGACATTGCCTCTGATGTACAAAACAGAATGAGTCAGTTAGAAAAAGAATCTGGAGATCTGTCAACAGCCATAACAAAACACGGAGAGGACTGGCACAGAGAAATTGACAAACTTGTCAAGAAACTTAAAGCTGAAGTTGATGAGATGAAAAACACACAGTTACAAACTCTACAGAAACATCTGAATGAAATAAACAAGAACATTTCTGATATTAAGGATGAAATGAATTCAGTTGAAATTGCTCAAGACACTAATGACTTGTCAAATCTATTAAGGGTCAAATCCAATGTACACACATACAGAAACCTTCCACACAAAATTATAGCAACTTTACCCAAATTCATCCCAGGAAAAAAACAAGGGGGAGAACTCGGTAAACTGTTTGGAGTTCTATCATTAAGTTCTCTTACATCAGATAGACATGGCTACAGCATGAAGACAACACAGAAATCACCAGAAGCTGGATCCTCTCCTCCAGTCAAACAGCTGCTTGATGAACCAGTGACTGTCACCACCATAGACACTGGGTATAAAAAGCCTTTGAATGTGGCCTGTCTGAGTGATGAAGAAATCTGGACAAGTGGAGATGACAACACCATGAAACTCTTCAGCATCAATCAGGGATCACTACTCAAGTCAATCACAACCAAGTCAGGGAACATACCAACTAACATAGCAGTGACAACAAGTGATCTTGTTTATACTGATTTTGAAGATAGAACTGTGAACATTGTGAAGAATGAAAAGATAGAGGAGGTGATCAGACTACAGAACTGGAGACCTAAAGGTGTTTGTAGTACCTCCTCTGGTGACCTCCTGGTTATCATGGACAGTGAAGATAGCAAAGAAACAAAAGTTGTCCGTTACTCTGTCTTCACAGAGAAACAAAGCATTCAGTATGACGACAAAGGTAAACCTCTCTTTCAATCTACTTCTTATATTCTAAGATACATAACAGAGAACAGGAATCAGGATATCTGTGTGTCTGATGAAAGAGCTGGAGCAGTAGTGGTGATCAATCGGGCCGGAAAACTGAGATTCAGGTACACTGGACATACTCCTGCTCCTAAGAACAAACCATTCAATCCACAGGGAATCACCACAGACAGTCGGAGTCACATCCTTACAGCTGATTATAGCAATGACTGTGTCCACATCATAGACCAGGATGGACAGTTCCTCTATTACATAGATTGTGGACTCAGTTCATCCTGGGGACTGTGTACAGATACAAATGACAATTTGTTTGTTGCTCAAAGAAAAAACAAACACGTGAAGAAAATCAAATATCTGCAGTGAAAGTCAAGATTGAATTACTTTTTTAATAATAAAAAATATTTCCTCCTCGAAAAGCTAGGTTCTCTTTATGCTTAAATTGGCCCTGTATATAAACAAATTTATTCACTGACGCTATGTCCAATTCTCAGACTCAATATAAAGTAGAGATCTAGCGCTTTGAGTTTTTATATCAAAGATTCCTCTAATAAGTCCAGGTATTGAAAAACTGATTGTGTTGTGTAAAGTTATAATGTTCTGAATTTTGTAGAAGAAAAATGCATTTGAGATCCTTCAACAGAGAATTAATATATGATCACACCCCTCAATCCAAAAAAAAATGATAAGATAATAATGAAGCAATTCATGACTAACAAGAAAATTACATCACTTTTTGAAGAGATTCAGTCAACAAGCAGGTCCAGTCCAAAGAGTATTTCTACCTACGTCGCTATTAATAGCTACCTAGGTATTTAAAGCTACCAAAAGTAGCTATTTTTACCTACTTTATATAATTTCTGCATTTTGCGACCAAAAGACCAAACGGCGCAACATGGTGAATACCATATTTTTTTATACGGTCACACTACTGATGAATTCGACAAAATTTTGGCCAAAAAATGATTACTTCCTGAATCGGCAATTTTACATTAGTTTCTATGCAAAATTGATCATATACGAAGCAATCTTTTTTTTGGCCAAATTTTTGTCATATTCATCATCGGTGTGACTGTATGAAGAAATTTTGTGCCCACCATGTTGCGCCGTTCCTGCATTTAATTTGGCCACAAAATGCAAGTAAAGCAGAAAGTAGGTAAAAATAGCTACTTTGGGTAGTTTTAAATACCTAGGTAGCTATTAATACCTACGTAGGTAGAAATAGTCTTTGGACTTGACCTGACAAGGGTTCAAGTTATGTTTATTTTGTTGTCAACTAAAACTATGCGCTCAATGTTTGAGAAATTTACTGGGCTTAAAATGGCCCAAAGTGGCCCTTGCTCTTCCATCATATCAGCTTGTCCACTGTCTAATCTTTACTCTGTACAGTGGAGCCTCATTTATTCAGACCCTTTAGTTCCTAGTCAATTTGTCCAGATATGTGAAGTGTCTGGATACCTGAATTACCAGTTTAACAAAACAATATAACTTTAGAAAATTCCATTCAGATGAAAAATCGCCCGGATACTGAAGCATCCAGATATCTGGCATCCAGATATCTGAAGTTCCACTGTATATAATACGACTGTTATATGACCAATCTAATTAAAATTAGATGTTAGATCTGCTCGCATACTCACTACACTTATATCTAACAATACCCCATTGAGGGTCACATCAGAGGTCAATTTCTTTCAACCAATCAAATTGTCTTCTGCAAAATGATCGTATATTGTTGAAGCGAATAAGTCTAGAGCTGTTCCAAATTTGACCTCTGACGTGATCCTCAATAGGGTGTTGTTAGATATCAGTGTAGCGAGTATGCAAACGGATCTGACATCTAATTTTAATTAGATTGTTACCGGTATATGACATGACTGTTATATGACATGACAGTTATTTGACATGGGGTACCAAGCTTCTTGGATGTTATTCATATTTCAAATATAAAAAAATAAAGATTAAACAGGATTTCATTTTTATTTTAACAAATCAGTTTTATTTCTGTTGATATTTTCTATCATAGAAAATTAATCCATTTGGAGACACCATTTTTTATTCCTGAAGTTGACCCAGAAAAATAATACATGTATTACATGATCAGAGTACAGTGAACATTTAAATTATATACAGTCTAATTGAGATTTTACATTGTAATTTGACAGAAAATGACAAAATCATTTTTTTTTTTAAAAAATAATGAAATTACACTCAGATTTGTCAAGAAAATCATATTCACATTTTTTTCAATGAAAAATTTTTTTACACATTCAAGAGTTAACATTAATTTAAGCCAACATACATGTAAATCAGTCACTTTGGGAAATATTTCAGAAAGTGTCATTAAAAGACTTCATATCATTTATATATTTCTTGATAAGAAGCCAATTCAGTAGATAAGTTTTTTTTTTTTCATTTTGATTGTTGTAAACATGTACTACGTGTCAGAAAAAGGTAAGTTTTTCACACAATGAATAATAATGTCCGTTTTAATGAATAATCTTTTCCAACACTTGGAATTTTTTGTTACTTCTTTGGCACATAAATGACAATAAGAAAGTTTTCCTTGATGAAATATATATAGAATTTATTGTCCTTTAGATTTGTAAGTAAACAAACCGTTAGTAAAAACAATTCAAAATATCCCTCTTTTTTGCAATACTCAATCCTGACTCCCTCCAGATCAGCAGTACACTGTAGGTCCTTTAAGTTTGCATGATTAAGATAGCAGATTATCGCAAACCATTTCCTTTGAGAAATTCTCTATCTATCCCCCATCTTTCACTCTGTTCTTGGAGGACCAATCTTTATAATTACAATTAGTAGTCATATATTAAAACTAAAATAGTGCCGGGGTCAGGACTTGAATGCTGGTAATGCGGGGGAGAGAAGGACCCTCCGTGACAGTCTGATCCCACCGCTCACAGGATCATTCCCAAAATATTTCACTTGAATCTCATCTCCGGGCTTGAATCCCAAAACTGTGGCATCCTGAACCTGTACAAGAAATCATTCAATCAAAATGTGATTTTTATTTAAATACATATATGCAATTCAATAAAATACAAGTAGCACATCTTTTTTTTTTTACAGCACCTCATTCCCAAGTAAAAGGATACAGAAAAAGAGGCTAAAATATTAAAATGTGCATATGTGTTCCCTTATATATATTTCATTCTGGTTTATATCCCTGTGAAATTCCAGAACGAAGTCATAAGGAATTTAAACCTCACCATTCTGATGTCCAGTTGTTTTCTGTGTATGAAAACTGGCTCCATGCTGGGATGGATTTCTACCATAGCACCGGCTACCCTGGAAAACCAAAAGCATTCAATATAGACACAGTTCTGTGCAAAGTGAAACATTTTTAGCTTACAGCTTAAATTACAAATTTTACTGTTAAAAATTTTAGCTTAAAAAACAGACTTTAAATAAATTTAATCATGTGATAAATGATACATTAATAATACAGGGTACGTCAAAGTCAACTTTGCAACAGGTCCTTAATCATTACATTACAGGGTATCTCAAAAATTACAAATGGCTGCACATCCTTAATAAATCAAGTAAAAAAAATTGGTAATTGATTAAAACTGAAGGGAGGAGACTTTTTATCTCAAAACTTGTTAGAAAAGATAACACACAAAATTGACAGGTACATACTTTACTTCTAATATCTTCACTGTATATATAGCACCAAACACCAGATTAGGAGCAGCCTAAAACACAAAGGTACACTTGCTAGAGCAGGATTACAACAAGAGGCCCATGGGCCACATCGCTCACCTGAGTAACTTGGGTGATGCAGATCTTTACCAGATTCCCCCTCTTGCTATACCAATCATGCCTAACAACCCCTTCCCTTTTTTATTTAAAAACTTCAGAATCTACACTACCCAAGGATGCTTCCACATAAGTTTAAGCTTTCCTGGCCCAGTGGTTCTTGAGAGGAAGATTTTTAAAGATTTGTTATATATACATATATTTCTATGTAAAAATTTGGATTCCCTATTGTGGTCCCGCCTTACCCCCGGGGGTCATGATTTTAACAATTTAATATCTACACTACCCAAGGATGCTTCCACATAAGTTTCAGCTTTCCTGTTCCAGTGGTTCTTGAGAAGAAGTTTTTTAAAGATTTGTTCTATATATTTCTATGTAAAACTTAGATTCACAATTGTGGCCCCGCCCTACCCCCGGGGGTCATGATTTTAACAATTTAATATCTACACTACCCAAGGATGCTTCCACATAAGTTTCAACTTTCCTGGCCCAGTGGTTCTTGAGAAGAAGATTTTTAAAGATTTGTTCTATATATTTCTATGTAAAACTTGGATTCCCTATTGTGGCCCCGCCCTACCCCCGGGGGTCATGATTTTAACAATTTAATATTTACACTACCCAAAGATGCTTCCACATAAGTTTCAGCTTTCCTGGCCCAGTGGTTCTTGAGAAGAAGATTTTTAAAGATTTGTTCTATATATTTCTATGTAAAACTTGGATTCCCTATAATGTGGCCCCGCCCTACCCCCGGGGGTCATGATTTTAACAATTTAATATCTACACTACCCAAAGATGATTCCACATAAGTTTCATCTTTCCTGGCCCAGTGGTTCTTGAGAAGAAGATTTTTAAAGATTTGTTCTATATATTTCTATGTAAAACTTGAGATTCCCTATTGTGGCCCCGCCCTACCCCCGGGGGTCATGATTTTAACAATTTTATATCTACACTACCCAAGAATGATTCCACATAAGTTTCAGCTTTTCTGGCCTAGTGGTTCTTGAGAAGAAGATTTTTAAAGATTTGTTCTATATATTTCTATGTAAAACTTGGATTCCCTATTGTGGCCCCGTCCTACCCCCGGGGTCATGATTTTAACAATTTAATATCTACACTACCCAAAGATGATTCCACATAAGATTCAGCTTTCCTGGCCCAGTGGTTCTTGAGAAGAAGATTTTTAAAGATTTGTTCTATATATTTCTATGTAAAACTTGGATTCCCAATTGTGCCCCCCCCCCCTTACCCCAGGGGGTCATGATTTTAACAATTTAATATCTACACTACGCAAGGATGCTTCCACATAAGTTTCAACTTTCCTGGCCCAGTGGTTCTTGAGAAGAAGATTTTTAAAGATTTGATCTATATATTTCTATGTAAAACTTGGGATTCCCTATTGTGGCCCCCCCCTACCCCCGGGGGTCATGATTTTAACAATTTAATATCTACACTACCCAAAGATGATTCCACATAAGTTTCAGCTTTCCTGGCCCAGTGGTTCTTGAGAAGAAGATTTTTAAAGATTTGTTCTATATATTTCTATGTAAAACTTGGATTCCCTATTGTGGCCCCGCCCTACCCCCGGGGGTCATGATTTTAACAATTTAATATCTACACTACCCAAAGATGCTTTCACATAAGTTTCAGCTTTCCTGGCCCAGTGGTTCTTGAGAAGAAGATTTTTAAAGATTTGTTCTATATATTTCTATGTAAAACTTGGATTCCCTATTGTGGCCCCCCCCCCTACCCCCGGGGGTCATGATTTTAACAATTTAATATCTACACTACCCAAAGATGATTCCACATAAGTTTCATCTTTCCTGGCCCAGTGGTTCTTGAGAAGAAGATTTTTAAAGATTTGTTCTATATATTTCTATGTAAAACTTGGATTCCCTATTGTGGC